TTTTTTTTTTCCAGCGGCAAAAGCTTTCAAATAATATCTAGTGCAAATTATAAGAAAAATGCAAGTATACTGCAGAGAAACAAAAAATAATTTTGCGCCACTACGAAAAGAAAATATGACAAGTATTCTAATAGTGCGTTTTCAACACTGTTTTACAGGCTGAATAGAAATAGTCATGTTCCTCAAATTTTATAGAGGATTCAAGGGCACAGGATGAACATGGATGAAAAACAAATAAAGCTATACTATTTTAGTGCTGTTTAAACACACCTGATTATGACCGTAAGTGACCGTAGGCGAAAACTGTTGGCTTCGAACACAAAATGTCGGCAAAAAAAAACATTTTTTTCAGATTTTTTTTTTGGATTTAAATAATCTTGACAGGCGGGGATGTATACAGGTGCATGTACAAACATGGCATCGCTCCAATGCGATTTTTGCAAGGCATAAAAAATAGTGTAGTCACTTCGCCCTCCCTCCTAATGCAGTGCTTTTGCTGGTTTATTTTGAAATCTACTAAAATTCAAATTTGTAGACTACTATCGAACTCAGATGGCATTTGGTATCATCTCTTTGTTGCTGATGCTTTCAACGAATGCCCTTGCGACATACACATTTTGTCATCATCGTTATATTTATAAGCGTTTAGCGGCATGCTTATATGCAGTTATAGGTAATTTTTCATACTTCGTTTAAAATTTTGATTGGAAATTTTGCACTCCGCTACTGGAATAACCATGGCTTGAAGAATGGCTTTATTTTTTTAGCAGCAGCTGTTGCACGCAAAAGATTTTTTTTTTTTATTATTCTGATTCATCACATTTTAACTGACTGTGCAGTTGCCCTTTGGAACCATTGTAGCCTCATGGAGTATTTATGGTTCGAATTCGTTACAGCGAACACGAGTTTTAACAGTCATTCTCCTGCTTCTCCTCCTCTTTGATGACCTTCTTCGATCAGTAAATTAGTGTTAGCATAAAGAGGTGGGTTTCATCTCATCTCCTTAGATGGGTTTGGGAATAAGAAACAATCGACATTTAGAAGGCGGTTGCTAAGTACTGAAAAGCAACATCACGCTGCTTTGTGCGGCCTTCCGTTGCCTCCGGAAGGACAGATACAGTCACTCAGGTTGGTAAGTTCTGAATGATGCAATTTCAGCAATGTGTATCGTTGTTACAATTGAAGTGCTAACAAATAGCGTTAATGAATGGAATCTTTCTGTAGCCGAACAAGCCAAGGTCTGCTTTGCTTTTTGGACAACTAAAATAAGGTTTTGTGTCCAAATTTTGCCTCCCCTTTCTTGCTTAATGGTTTTTTGCTAATTATATTCCATGATCGTTATTTTTTACACATTTTTGCATATTTATGCAAATGAAAAAAAAAAAAAACATATTGCAAGAGGTTGTCCGTGTGTGTGAACTTTGTCATCCACCCTTAACTTCAGAATCAAAGAAGTTAGGAAGCTGAAATTTTTGGGACTTATGCCTATCTCACATACTACCACCCCATTTTAATATTATCGTTCACGCACGCTTGGATCTCACGTACGGACGCCTAAAAGAATTCATGCATATTTTTCAGCGAAAAAGCGATTTCGAGAATAAGACAAGATATGAAGTTGCAATTTTACAAGGATCTTCTATGTCCATGCGTATGCATAAAATTTCAGTAAACCTACACTATGCGTATCAACACGATACAGTTCGTCGCTGGCAATTTGTCAACTCTGGAATTAGTCGGAAAAAAAACAGCCGTAATTTCGCGAAAATATTTGCCGTCCATGTGTGGAGAGCCATACCTAAACTAAATTTTGGATTGCTTCGAAGCGTACCTGGGCCTCGCATTATGCGCAACCAAAATTTTAGTTTTGAACAGCCTCGGCACCCATTTAACTCTGCACCAGACTGAGTGGAAAGCCACAGTTCCGTGAGATGTTCATTGTCCACGCATGAGCCTGTAATTTAAAATGAGCTTTAGTCTTAGAATGTACCCTGCACAAGAGTGCGTAATGTTCAGATCTGATCGCTTTCATCATTCGTCTCTCCCGACATTCAGGCACTCAAGAAATCAGAAATTTTTATGATAATACTAGCGTATCCAATTCATTAAAAGTACAGAATCAGCTTCCACAAATGCCCGTCCCACGTACGGGTAAGGCGGACTTAAAGGTGCAAATTACGATAGGCTTTCTTCACTATAATCATACATGCGGGCAACCCAGATAACACGTGGCCTTGTAATGCAACACACTTCCGTCCCAGCCGATGCCTCTTTCCTCCTACATATTGAAAAAGACAAAAACACTGTTAACACGGAGTGCACATATTAAATTGTAAAGCAACAACCATTTATGCTGTTAACAGTCTGACTGCTTCAAGATTCGCACAAAAACGCATGTTCGCACCGAAAGCTCTGGCGCACTTTGCTGCCTTGGCTGATAAAGGTGCCGGTGTGGAGAATGACGTCCAGTTGATCGATTTTGATCAGTGAATTTAATATGACAGCTTTGACCTTAAAATTTTGCAGAATATGGAATGGGATTACTCCGTGGGCCAAACCACTGGCTTGGCGACTTACTTGGCCTGGACATGCGTATGTATTTATACATTCGCGGCGGCGATATTTGCATTTGGATCACATAAGCACAAGGGTTCACGTGCTGCAACTGCGGAATTTGAAATTGAAGATAGGCCTATTCACATCGGCCGGTAACCAGAGCTGAATCGAGCAGATTTGGAAGAAGCTTTTTTCCCTTTTGCATATTTCCACAGTTTTTATTATTACTGCTTTCATGAATTTCATGAGAACGATGGTTGCCTTATTCACTTTCTAAAATCTTACATGAATAAAAATAGATTGTTATCAGTCCGGTGTTCAGGGTGTTTGTAACCATGGGCGAGATGGGTTCACTCCACATTTCCTAAATAAGCACGTTTAGCTTTGAAGAAGTGCTGTTCTGTCAGCTTTACTGTATTCGAGTACTTGCGCCGGGGGAGCAAGGGGAAGGAAGTTGGGGAAAGGGAAGACGAATTCGATGCTGCAAACGGGAAAATAAACCAAATATGCAGGACTAAACCGAAAAGGGAAATAACGTTGGAATTTCGTTGAGGAATTGTTACTGGTTAAAATATTTGCTCACAGACAGTTCCATCAAATCATGCAACGCCACGGACACCTTATTTGTGCAAACTCCGACAAACAGGATCGTTTTTGATATGGGAAAATGGAACTGTGATAATAAATGGCTCCAGTACAAGCGTTCAACGTAAGAACGTCCACAAAAGTCGAATTGATGCAACCATGCATAAGGAACCTTCACAGACCTCTTCACATTCGGCTCGGTGGCTTCCGATTCGTTTAGCATTCTTATTCTTCGAAGATCACGTATTTCAGCTTCAGAACTGCGCACCTTGCAAAGCTTGAATCTTATGAACAAAATTTTCGATCACCCATGATCCTTCCCCTCAAGCTTGAATTTTGCATATCTCGCTTCCCGTACTCTCCAAAACAACTAAAAACATCAGCCTTACCGCGCATTACATATTAAGCACATGAATGTTGTATAAGCGACGTATGCATATGATCAGAATTTTACGTATGTAATCCGGCTTTTATGAACGTGGCCTAGATGTTGTGCACGCTCAAATGCTATTTTAAATTCCTGCATTCAAAAAAGATACAACTGGTGCCAAAACTGTTATTTTTAGGTCAAGGACTTTTGCCACAATTTCCCGAAAATGTAACAATATAGAAGTTCGTTGGTTAACATTAAAATTAACAGCAATATTTAAAAAAAAAAAGTCCCCGCCTTCACAGCCTCACATTGGAGTCACAATTTTTTCACTAGCTATTATTGTTGACCACTGTCTGAACTGTGTCAGCAAATTTTCGCAGGCGCTACCTCTACCTTCCGTCTCAGCAACCACGTGGTTTCTCGGCCTGTAATTCAGCTGCACGTTCTGCAAGGCAAACCAATCCAAAGACCGACGGAAAAAAAGCGTGCTCCCAGTTGTGCCCTTGAATTTTTTGTTTTTTTCGCCAACTCTCGTCATATATTCCCTCGAAAAAGAAAGTCGTTAATCTCAATGCACAAAATTTTATAGCCAATACAACAGCTCGTGGCCGATAAGGGAAGTAACATATTAAGCTCGACTACCATGCTGCTGGGATCTGGTTTGTATCGAGTAACCAAAAGCACTTAAGGAAATGTCCAGACCTAAATCAGTACTCCGCCGGCGAGACATCTAAGCTTTACTAATACTGGATTTAGAAAATGCAAGTTAAATTCAGAACTCCGTCTCCACAGGCGCTTGAGAACCATGCCCCCAGAATTTTAGCTTTTAATGTCTCGCAATTTCAGGAAAAAGATTATGTGGTCACAGACACACATACTAGAAAGAAAAAAATCATACATATCATACATACAGGAAAAAAATCATACATATACATGCATACATACATAAATACACAATCACACAAGCATACACGCAAACAAATGCATTTAACGCAATTATACACACACACAGAGACAGAATGAATCTTTCCTATCTTGCACCTTCTTTCATTAAATGTTGCATGAACAAATGCAAGAAGTGCGGAACAGGGAACAAAAACTTGGAAAGCGCTCTGAACTTAAACACTGCACATTGCAAATAAATTACAGGAATAAAGAATACGAAGGAAGTGGAGATGGGGCTAAGGAAGCGCTGTCACAGGACATCAGCGATGAGCCGGCAAGAACCAATGAAGTTAGAAGTGTAAGCGAAGCTGCAGGACGCACAAACAACAGGATATACCGTAGTAGTGTACATAAATCCAAAACCCATGGCTGCTGAAAGTGGAGCATAAGAGCCAGTGCTGCAGGCTGTTTGGCGCATTACAACTTGAAATATCCGGAACACACTGCAAATGAAGAATTAAAATCCGTCCCGTCCTACAATTTCTACAATAATGACCCAGATCGCGACGGGCAGAACTCAACTCTTCTTATAATACTTTTCCCCCCCCCCCCC